AAAAAAAAAAAAAGAAAACTGAAAAGAGAGCAGTTTCTTCTTTCCCTATTTCTACAGCCTATACTGATGAAGCATTTTCTGGAACAGTGCTAGCCAACAGCACTTTCTGGAATGATACACGTGTCCTGTTCATCTGTGCCGTCTGCTAGGATGGGAGCCCCAAACCACACGGCTATGAAGCACCTGCAATTGGGCTACTGTGACTATGGAACTGAATTTTTATCTTTTTTTAAATTTTTGTTTAATGTTTATTTATTTTTGAGAGACAGAGACAGAGACACAGAGCACGAGCAGGGGAGGGGCAGAGACAGGGAGAGTGACACAGAATCCGAAGCAGACTCCAGGCTCTGAGCTGTCAGCACAGAGCCCCCAACATGGGGCTCGAACCCACGAGCCGTGAGATCATGACCTGAGCCGAAGTCGGACGCGTAACCGACTGAGCCACCCAGGCGCCCCTGAATTTTTATTTTTACTTAATTTAATCAAACTTAACTAGTCATATGTGGCTGGTGACTACTGTATTGGCCAGTGATTGTCCAGAATATTCAATGTCTTCACCTTAACTTCATCGTTGTCAAGAATATATTCCTGACCAAATTCCAGTAAGCTAATAAAAGTCCATGATCAATTTTCTGTTTAATAAACCGTTACATTTTTTTTCCAACTTTCACCTTCATTTTGCTGAGGAAGGAAGGGAGCCCGTTTAACAGGAGACCAAGAAACAGGCTGCAAGTCAGGGTCAAAATGTCAGGCACTGGCTGCAAGTGTCCTTCTGCACCATTTATTCTGATCCTCCCTCAGCTACTTTTGAGACAGAAATGACCCCTCTTTTGAAGGTGAGGAAACAGAGACCGAGAGCAGTTAAGTAGCTTGCCCATGGACACAGCCTGGTGACACTAGGGTTTAAACCCTCGTCCGACTGCAGACTGAGCTGACTGAGCTCGAAGCATTACACTTCAACTGCTAAAACTTAAACAGGCTGGGCTGGGTGAGAAGTAGGTTAGGGAGCTCCGGGCAGACTAATGTTATTCAGAGCACGTTAAAAGCTGGACCAGCCCGCTTCCTTGCCAAGAGACAAAGGACGTATCCAGGCAACTTCCCTTGATGTCCGGTAAATGACGCTCAATAGATCAACGGTTCCTTCAATGTGTGATTCCAAGTCGGGAGAGACAGAGGTGAACAAGACAGAAGTCCCCGCCCTCATGAGGTTTATATTCTAGTAAAGCAATTTAAAAAATAACTAAGGAAGATCTCCAAAGAGGTGAGAACCAAACAGACACCCAAATAGATCAGTTAGCTGTGTGCAGAAACTGAGAGACCGTGCCAGGCCGTGGGGGCCACAAGGACAAAGATGGGAGACGCAGAAGCATGCTGGGAACGCACAAACAACAGCGAGGGTTGGCATGGCTGGAGCACGGTGGCTGAGAAGACGCGGGGAACGAGGCTGCTCTACTAACCGGGGCAGACCTTGCTGGAACAGGCACTGGAAGGCTCTGGAATATATTTTAAGATCATGGAGAGCCACGGGAGTGGAGAGGGGGTGTGCAGGGCAGGTGTATAGAGAGGAGTGAAAGAGATGGGATCCGACTGATGTTTTAAAGGGAACACTGGAAGCTGTAAAAGGAGGCTGTGAGTAAGCACAATCAAGGAGAAAAAGCAAAGCCGGAAGGACTTGTTTGAGTGACGAAGCAAGTTTAAATCAGCACTACAGCTACACGCGTAGAGCGGAAATGGAAACCAGTTTCAGGACAGATTTTAGCTAAATATTTCTGGTCAAACCAATACCCGCGGACAGACGGAAGGGAAAAAGGTTGGTTTCTCAAAGAGTCACACTGCAAGAAAAGCATGTGCTCCGTCCCTCCAGGTTCTATTTACTATTCCGAGGCCCCATCTCCCGCGTGTTCACACACTCGCAGCACCAACAAAACCCACTGTCAGGAAGTTCCCACAGGATGTGCTCACAGATAATCCACCTGTTACAGAGATTTTTGCTATTTGTTTACATTTAAATGAGTATTTCAGAACAAGCGTGGACAGTTCTGACAAATTCTAATTAAGATACAAGCAGCATTAAACAACAATACACAAGGAGAAGCCCTTTCTAGCTACACTTGCCCTCCTCCACATAACACACACCTTCAGGTCAAGGGGCTAACTGGACTAGAATGCTTCACTCATTCTTCCTAGCTGAAGTTTTGCAACATTGTTTGCCAGAAGCTGAAACCAGAACAAACTGGAACACAAGAAAAACTGTAAGTCAGAACCCTGTGCCTATGCTTCTTACCTACCCATGATCTCTTTGCCAATGTAACCCTGAAAGGACGTTTTGGGTCAGGTGCATCCTCCGCTAGCTAAATGACCCTCAACGCGCCTGCAAGATGACCGATCGTCACACTCAGCCTGCAGGAGATCCCTGTGGCTGGAACCTGACTGCACAGGAGAGCAGGTGCTCAGCAAACCTGCTGAGTGCTAAGCCTGCAGCCGCACACTTCAGTCCTGGTAACGTGCTCCCCGACACTCCCCACTTCTCTTCCAGCACAGAAGCACCCACTCAAGGCCTTCCTCCTGCCGTCTATCCTGCCCTTCCATTCCACTGGCTGCCTGCGCCCAACATCCTGTGATTTACCCAAAAACCAGCTTCGTGGGATACCTGCACTTTCTTTCTGCTTTTTATGCCTCTTCTGCCTTAGATATTCGCCTCGAGTTACTACGTCAAACATGGTAAAGACCCAAGGCAAAAGCCGGGTGCCAGTCCCGGCCATCTCCACAGCTTTGGCCCCAGTCTCTCTGTCTACGAAGTGTAAGTAACACACACGCAGCGCTCCTTCACAAGGTTGTGCGCAAGTCTAGTCCAAAATGAGAAAAGCCTGCAAACTGCCATGCGCCGCCCAATTTTAAGATCCAAGGAAAGATGGATTCAGACAAAGCTCAGCTCAGGACCAGCACACCGCGGTCACTCAATAAGCGTTAAGCACAAAAGGAGCATTTTCCTCCGACAATGAGGCTAATGGGCGAAGCGACGGGGCCCATCCTGGCCTCTCGCCCCGCACCTGCACCTGCACGACCCGGTTTTGACAAGGAGGGCTCCGATTCTGCTCGGCTCAGGGAGGCAGCGCCAGAGAGGCCCCATCGCCGGCCTGCAGCGCCCTAAAGAGCGCACCAGGAGAAGGGAAGGACCCGAAGACAGGCGACAGGGCGGAGGTCCGCGCGGCGTGACCTTGGCCGGCCCCTCCGCCACCTGGGGGCAGCCTCCCGGCCGGCGCACCCAGCCCAGCCCGGCCGGATGCGGGACGTGCCAGGACAGCAGTTTCGGTTTCCCGAGAAGCT